GAGAAGAGATCTCATTTACTATATATTATTGCCTGTGATCGTTGAATTCTTAAGAAACACATAGAATTTATATATATATATATATATATATATATATATATATATATGATATAAATCAAAAATGTCACAACATGCATAAAATGAAAGGAGGCACCATTTATTATTTTAACACATAATGGTACAAGGAGGCACCAAATACGTATGCGCCACACAAATCTCATTTGACATGTATGAGGGCTGTGATACTGCCCGGGTGCCAAAACTGAAGCAGGTGGTTTTCTTAGGGGACAACACCCGAAGCCTTCGACCTGAGGGTCTGATCCACCATTGATTGATCACTGGGTGGTGATCAATGTCATATGTGTGAAGTCCTTGTTAGAGCAGACTGCATGCTATCGACCATGTTGCAATGTGGTCACCAGTTTAGGTGATTCAACACTGCTTGCACTATTGTGATATTAGATGGTGGTTGAAGGTAATCGACAGGAAATCCTGGACCCAGGTTTTTATGCTACTTGGAATTCGTCGGCAAGGTGTGCCTGTAATCTTGGGGGGACTGGTGCTCCCCGAGGGTTTTCTGTCGACTACCTCCAACCACCATCTAAATCTCAATATATAGTGCCCGCAATGTTGAGTCACATAGACGGGTGGCCACATTGCAACATGATCGATAGCATTCGATCTGCACTAATAAGGGCTAGACACGCACGACATTGATTGCCACTCAGTGATCAATCCATTGTGATTACATCTCAGTGCTACAGGAGGTCGGTCGCGGCTGGGATAGCTCAGTGGTAACGTCTCTGACAGTGAAGCTGGGTGACACGAGATCGAATCCGCCAGGGAGCACCAGTTCCATCAAGATTACAGGCGCACCTTGCTGACAAGTGCCAAGTACCGCGAAACCCGGGTCCAGGGTTTCCTGTTGACTACTTACGACCATCATCTAAGTACAGTCTTTTAAACAGGAAAAAGAAAAGGCATAAATAACGTACCGAACAGTAAATGGAGTGTTGGAAAAATGTGTCAACATGGCGAATATTGTTTTATAATGGACATAAAATTGTGATTGGTGAATAAAAATGACATAGTCATACAAGGTCAAAGAGAGTTAATGTGGTGGTAAGTGTTTCACTTTAGCATTGGTGGGTTCGTTTATCAATCACACTTCATACTCCCCCCGAAAAGCGCACCACATTCATCGTCCTGGGTCGTCGTCGCCGTCAGATAACTGGCTTTCAGTACGTATAGGCTTCGTACATCCCGAAAGATTTCCTCGTTTGCCGTTCTTCACTTTGCTGTACGAATTCTCTAGTCAGGACCATAGTTTATGTGTTTGACAGTGGCTTTAGACCACAGACTTCTACTCATTTCAGTTAAGAACGTTTGCAGAGCTTCATCGGTCAGTGCGTTTTGAAATAGAAGCGCTCTTAGAGTCTTTCTGATTGATTTTATGACGCGTTCTCATGACTGGCTCTCGAAAGGTTGAAACGCCATTCACAACCTCTTCCTAAAAGAGCATCTTATTCTGCTTCCAACTACAAATAATCTGTCCAAGACTAGCATTGGCCTCTTTGGATACCAAGGACGATTCATTACTAAGAGTCCTTAAAGATACCTATTTCGGTTTTCCCTCGATGATTAACTCATCAGCCAGACCATCGACAATGACGGAGGTGTCTGATCCACTATCAAAAAGAAGCAAGTTTGAATAATTTTCTCACCACTTTTCATACATACAGACACTGAAGTAAATGCTACTGGTCTCTGTATACTCCTAACACCCCCTTCGCATAGATCTGGGTATTAATGTAGACATCACTACTGCTATCTCTTTGTTTTCCCTGAATCCTGTGTAACGGGGTATGATGTCTCCAACCACATCCTTCAGCAGCACATGACCACAGCGATCGACTTTTTGCTTCATGGCTTGCTTTCAGGCAAACAATACATGACTTGTGTCTGAGAACGAATTCTTTTCTTTCCCTAACATTCTTGTTTTTAAACTTCTGACACTGATCTAAAGGATGATTACTTGAGCACTCCAAACAGGATGGACAACGTAAGGGGACATTGTCATCACTAGTACTTGCATAAGATGTCCTTATCGCATTGTAATCTGCATTAATTTACCCTCTAAGAATACCAACACACTTATTGTCACTATTACTACCACGGTTTTCAGATAGGCCATATCTAGTATTAGCTATATCAGCTTGTTCCTTTACGAACTCATTAAGATTGGCAAACAGAGGCTTTCAACCAACTACGATAATCTTATAAGCTGCTTTTAACCCCTCTTGTTGAATGTGCTTTGGTAATTTCAAAACCATAGTTTCAATAGTTCTGGAAGAGTTCGAATCAGAAGGGTAATTCATCTGTTTGAGACTCAGACCACATACTTGCATTTCTAGAGACAGTCTTCTGAATCCATCTGGTTGAGTCCTTTTTATATTGGGAAAGTTTAACGAGTTGTCGATAAACGTGCGTGCTATAACGTGTTTTTGATCAAACGTTTCCTCTAGAAGCTTTAGGGCTTAATGATAACCTACCTCTGGTTCTAATATAGTACAATGAAGGATAACGACTCTCGCTTCTCTGCCACAATATTGAATTAAGTAATTTAGCTTAGATCTAAATCCCAAATTCTCACTCTCGATGCATTCTTCGAAATTTCTAATCAAACTCCAATATTTTGTCGGTGTACCATCAAACCTTAAGATTTATCTTTTTGGCAAATACAGATTTTTTAATATTACATTCTCAATGCTGTTGTAGCGGTAAATAAATCCCCAAACTAAATAGCTCTATAGGTTTTCGACATTGGATGCTGACCATATGTTTTAGTGGACTCATCTAGCTGAAGGCGCTCGGTCGTGCATCCGCACCAGATCCCGTGCTGTCACGCTGTGCTCAACAACAATCGCAATCACTAGCCAGATTAGATCAGAGATTCCCGATATATTGGTTATCGCCAAATACACTCTTCCGATCTCCTCGACTCTGTCTTTTGATTTCTCTCGGTGGGAACAAAGCATATTAGAAGGTGTTATTGGTAGAAGCGTTGTCAAACACTGAATACCTGTATCATCCTCATTGGTGAGACCGTCGTGATCTGGTACACCTAATTGCAACTGTGAGTCTGTTCCTTTTTGGAATTTTTATATATTATTACCTTAATTTTTTTTAAACATTGTGATTTTTTTTCGTGTTTTTCCTTGGATATATATATATATATTTTTTTTTTAACTCGTTCATTATCGTACTTCATATTTCATCATGGCTGAACAGACACCCAAAGTACTCAAGCTTAAGACTTTGTCCCCGCCTTCGTTTCAACTAATGCCTTTCTGGCCCGACAATATCGAAGCCTGGTTCTGCTACGCAGAATCCGATTTCTCCGAGCACGGCGTGATCGACACACGTGCACGATTCCTCGCAGTAGTCAAGGCACTACCGCGCGGATTCAACAGGTACGTAACACCTAGTATGTTTACTAGTGATGTTTCCGATCCTTACGAAATCTTGAAACGTTCGATTCTTAAACGAGGAGACCTAACCGATCGACAAAGGTTAGATCAACTCTTCAATAACATCGACCTGCAACACGGTTCTGCGACTGACATGTTGCAAAGAATGAGAGAAGTGATAGGCCTAAGGACTTTCGACGAAGGTCTATTTAAACAACTTTTCTTGTCTAAACTTCCTCATCAGGTGCAAGCGGTTCTGGTCTCGTTTCAGAACAACGCCTTAGACGAGCTAGCTGCATCTGCCGATCGTATTTTAGAAATGACGAAATCGTCTACTTTAGAGGTATTTTCCGTCAAAGAAAAGCCTCACGCGACTCAGAATGACATAACCGAGTTATGTCATACACTCACGCATTATCTTAATCTTCGTAACGACCGTAGTCGCTCACGCAGTCCACGTAGAAGCATTTCGCGTAAACGATCTGTCTCTAGACCACGAGAGACGGATAACCCCGACTGGTGCTGGTATCATAACCAGTATGGAAAATCTTCCAGAAATTGCAGAAAACCCTGCAATTTTCCCAACACGAAAACGACTAACTCAAAAAACAACTCGGGAAACTTCTAAGCCGGCACGCGTTAACGGCAACCGTAGCCGGCGAACATAGCCGTCTGTTGTACGTCACAGATGTGACAACGAGAGTTCGCTACCTCGTCGACACTGGCGCAGAAGTTAGCGTTCTCCCAGCAAATCATAACGACCGGCTCCACGAATCAACTCTAAACTTACAGGCGGCAAATGGAAAACCGATCGCCACGTATGGCAAAAGGTACGTCTACCTTAACGTGTGTTTACGCAAACCCATTCATTGGATTTTCGTTGTTGCAGATGTTTCTATGCCAATCATTGGTATGGACCTTCTACAACATCATAATCTAATCATCGACACGCGCAAACGGAGGCAAGTAGATGGAAACACTAAATTATCCGTTTGCGTAACTTCTTTTTCTGGTTGTAGATTATCCCCAGTCACAGTTAAGCATTCGATAGACCCACTCTATCAACCACTACTCGACAAGTATCCTGGGATACAGAAAACTCAACCGAAACTACCGTGTGTAACCAGCAATGTTACACATCACATCACGACTACAGGACCACCTGTATTCTCTAAAGCACGACGACTAGCTCCGGAAAAGCTGAGGTTAGCGAAAAACGAATTCGATCACATGATAGACTTAGGAATCATACGACCGTCAAACAGCCCTTATGCATCTCCGTTGCACATGGTCCCTAAAAAGGACAGCAACGATTGGCGTCCAACTGGTGACTATCGGCGATTGAATGCAAAAACCATTCCCGATCGTTACCCGTTGCCTCACATTCACGATTTGACAGCTACCTTGAAAGGTACAACTGTCTTTTCGAAAATCGACTTGGTTAAAGCGTATAACCAAATCCCTATGGCTACTAACGACATACCGAAAACAGCTATCATAACTCCTTTCGGACTCTATGAATTTTTGAGAATGCCGTTCGGTCTAAGAAACGCTGCGCAAACATTCCAAAGATTCATTGACGACGTCTTTCGAGGTCTCAACTTCGTACATGCGTATGTTGATGACTGCTTAATCGCAAGTCCGGACAGAGAATCACATCTCAAGCATCTGGATCTTGTTTTCGAACGATTACAAAAACATGGCATTACTGTAAACGTTCAGAAATGCCAATTCGGAACCGACTCGTTAGATTTCCTAGGACACACTATCGATGCTCAAGGCATTCGACCTCTTAGGACCAAAGTGGCGGCCATTCTGGATCACCCAGAACCGACCAACGTCAAACAATTACGCACGTTTAACGGCCTGGTAAGTTTCTATAGACGCTTCATACCGAAATGCGCATTACTTATGAAACCTCTTACTGACCAACTTCGTGGAAATGCGAAATCCATTAAATTGGACGACACCGCAGGAAAAGCATTCTCCACAGTTAAGGAACTGATCGCTAAAGCAACAATGCTCGCACATCAGGACACTGAAGCACCCATTAGTATCGCAGTAGACGCATCCGACTCGGCAATCGGAGGAGTCTTAGAACAATGGGTTAACAACTCCTGGCAACCCTTGGCATTTTTCTCTAGACGGTTGCTAGACACCGAATCGAGATACAGCACATTCGGTAGGGAACTCCTAGCTATGTATTGTGCTGTACGGCATTTTCAACACCATATCGAAGGCCGTGAATTCACACTTTTCACGGACCATAAACCGCTCACTTTCTCGTTAAGCTCTCCTTCTGACAAGTACTCTCCCCGTGAGTCTCGACAACTGGACTACATTTCGCAGTTTACTTCAGATATTCAACATATTTCTGGAGCAAACAATGTAGTTGCAGACGCCTTGTCTCGAATAAATTCCTTGAACAGTTTCCAAGGAATCGACCTTCTTAAACTCGCCCAGCTTCAAAAAGAAGACACTGATCTTCTACAAGAGTTATCGTCCACAACCCTTAAACTACGCATCAAACAGATGGGAACAGGTAAGGAAACCTTACTTTGTGACACATCTACAGGTAGAGATCGCCCAATCGTCCCGAAACATTATCGACGCAATGTCTTCAACACATTGCACAAACTTTCTCATCCAGGTGTTCGTGCAACCATCAAGCTTATAGCAGAACGGTTTTACTGGCCTGGTATGAATAAAGACGTGTGGGAGTGGGCACGCTCCTGCGTAAGCTGCCAAAAATCTAAGGTCATCAGACACAATAAATGTCCCTTAGGCTCATTTAAAACTCCCGATGCTCGTTTCGACCATGTTCATCTGGATTTGGTAGGACCTTTACCAGATTCAAATGGATACTCTTACCTCTTGACCTGTGTAGATCGTTTCACTCGATGGCCAGAAGCAATACCTATCAAGGATATCACTGCTGAAACAGTGGCCCGAACTTTCGTCGAACGATGGGTAGCAAACTTCGGTTGCCCTTCAACCATCACTACAGACTGCGGACGTCAGTTTGAGTCTGAACTTTTCCGTCGTCTGACCACACTATTAGGAAGCACTCGCTTCCGAACGACCGCCTACCACCCACAAGCAAACGGATTGGTAGAACGCTTTCACCGACAACTAAAAGCTTCACTATCAGCTGCAAACGTTTCACAGTGGACCGACGCTCTTCCACTCGTCTTACTAGGTATCCGCAATGCAGTGAAAGCTGACATTGGATACACTGCGGCTCAACTCGTTTATGGAACGACACTCCGACTTCCAGGAGAATTCGTGGATCCTTCATCCTCTTCATTGAGCATGGATCTAACCTCCTACACGAACAGGCTTACAAACGCAATGCGTTTAGTTAAACCTTCTTCCACTCGACCTCAATCAACTGATGTTTTCGTTCAACCTGACTTACGATATAGTACACACGTTTTCGTTCGTCGAGACTCGCATCGACGACCTTTCGAATCAGCATACGAAGGACTTTTCAGAGTTCTTCAACGCGAACCGAAGTACTATATAATCGATAAGAACGGAACCAACGATAGCATCAGCATCGATCGCCTCAAAGCAGCGTATTTAGAAGGAAATCCTATCTACGTGGATTTTCCTTCGGTACAATTGAACGACACGACTCCGACACTTATAATACCTCATCCGACAACCAACACTCATGATGATACTTCGACAGTATCCGAAAATAAACTTAAAACGACGCGTTCTGGAAGAAGAGTGAGATTTCCAGAACATTTAAATGACTATTGCACGTAAGGCACTTCTCGACATTTTCTATATTATTAAAAAATAAATTTTTTTTTAAATAGGCTTATATATTTTCATTTCTATTTTAAAAAAAACAACAAAAAAACGATTTTACAAGTTTATTTTCCCTTTTCACGCACATACGAGTGTATTTTCGACATGCACTTACATTTTCTTTCTTCTTTTCCAGGACGGCTGGAAAAGAACGATGACGTTTATGAGGATACGAAATTTTCATTGTACATTTCTTTTTTTACTATGTTGTACCCCGGTCCCATATAGTAAGGAAAGACGACCAGACGCTGCTAAATTTAGTAAGCTATCAGAAGAGTGTTTACCAACGACAAACTCGTTGGGTTTAAACTTCTGGCTGGTCACGTCTTAGGGTCATCACTGCCCTACTAGGGGGGGAGTGATCTGTAGCGGTAAATAAATCCCCAAACTAAATAGCTCTATAGGTTTTCGACATTGGATGCTGACCATATGTTTTAGTGGACTCATCTAGCTGAAGGCGCTCGGTCGTGCATCCGCACCAGATCCCGTGCTGTCACGCTGTGCTCAACAACAATCGCAATCACTAGCCAGATTAGATCAGAGATTCCCGATATATTGGTTATCGCCAAATACACTCTTCCGATCTCCTCGACTCTGTCTTTTGATTTCTCTCGGTGGGAACAAAGCATATTAGAAGGTGTTATTGGTAGAAGCGTTGTCAAACACTGAATACCTGTATCATCCTCACTGTTTACTGATTAACCGAAACCTACAATTCTCTGGCTGTGTAAACTTTCTAGTTAAATTTCTTTTTCTAACTGGGTTGTACGTAACCTAGCTAACTATCCTATGTGCGATTAAATGTTTACTGTCAGAAAGAACAAATGGCGTGCAATCCACCTGCTAAAACTCCCCACGAAGTTTCATCATAACATACAGTTAGTTTACTTTGAATAGCGTTTGGATATATTGAAATCGTCGTATGATAGGGAGTAGACGGTACTACTCAACCATCGGTTTTAAAATAATAGACATATATACCAATGGAAAACGGGAAGAATTGGTAAACCTTGAAGTGTTTAAGCATTAACTTTAACTCGGAAATTCGTAGATGATTCTGAAAAGAGTTATGTGCAAATCGAATGTGTCATTCGTCAATATAAAACCAAACTTTATCCATTTCAACGTCAAACGTGATTAAGTTGCACGGATAAATACTTCGATCACAGACCTAGATGGGTCAACCGTTTGCGTTTGGGTAACATCTTGGGTGGATTGTTATGAAAACCGCGTAGCATGGTTTTCTCTAAGTCACAAAGCTGTCCGGGTTTGGGAGTAGTCCGAATCTTATTTACTACTTGTTAGGGATGGGGAATTTCATTTATGCTAATGGTACTTAATGATTACAACTACTTGCTAGGAAAGTGTTTTTTATTAAACTCTTCACATAAGCCAGTTATAAGTTCCACGTATTTAATCACCCAGTTAATGTTTTGAAAAATTATTTGTAGTATATAACTCGCTTGAACTTTTTACACTGCCGAGAAATCCTGTTTTGATATTGGTCCATATGAAAGCGAATTTTGTTGTGTGATGACGTAAAGAATTTAGTGTTTTTCTCTTCTCGATTCTGAAACCGGGGTCACCTTGCTAAAGGTGTACAGACTAGGGAGTCTAACGGACTCGAAACCAAATCATTCCAGACTGCTTAAAGTAGTATTCGTGACCAAATTTTACAAAATGGGCACAAATTAAAGGGTTCAGGAGTCTTTATTCGAAAGGACCTACCGTTGGCAGACCGTGTTAAAAGACGGGAAGCCGAGAAAGAACTACAACATAGGTTAGACGCTGGCGAAAAAGACCTGAAAATTGTAAATTTTCGGGTTGTAAGACTTCGACAGAGAATGATGCCGAAGCCACTCTGGGTGAAATACGAAGGCACTTAAACAGGCTTCGGATCTGTTACACCAATTCACGAAGCTTACTTAATAAGCGATCGGAACTAGGTGTACAGATTGACTCTACAAAGCCAGACATAATCGCAGTAACAGAAACCTGGCTGACACAGGCTATAGATAGTATAGAACTTGATTTCGAGGGCTTTACGTTAGTAAGGGCCGACAGAACACAAAAGCGCAAAGGAGGGGGAGTAGCTCTATTCATTAGGAATGCTATCCCATTTACCATTGTCGACAGTGTATCTCATGAGAGTGGGGCGTGTGAATTAGTTAGTCTTCGCCTAAAATGCAAGGGACAAGAGCTGCTGATTGGTTTGGTCTATCGCAGTCCAAGCTGTGAGGCAAATGAGATCCTGTTAAGCAGTCTCAATACTTGGTCCCACAGTGGTCGATGTCTAATCCTAGGGGACTTTAACGCACCTATGATAGACTGGGAAAATCTGCGAATTAAATCGTCGGAGAATTCTTTCGAGCAGGAACTAGTTGATGGGATTATCACATGTGCTCTAGTACAACATGTGAAAGAAGCGACAAGGTACGATCCGGACACTGAATCATCCTTATTAGATCTTATACTGACTCACTATGAGGATGATGTTGCGAACCTCCAACATATGCCACCCTTAGGTAAAAGTGACCACGCAGTTTTAACTTTCGACTTCCATATAACTGTCAGTCATGAGGACGCATCAGTCCAGTCCAGACCCAACGTCTGGAAAGCAAACATACCAGCCATCATGCACTCAGCATCGTTAATAGATTGGACAATAGACCCAGAGTCCTCCATTGAAACGGCCTGGGACGCATTTCGAAATTCATACTTAAAAGTTACCACACCTCACATCCCTTGGACTATACCAAAGGGACCGAAAAACTCTCCACCATGGTTCAGTAGGGAGGTCCGTATTCTTCTCCGTAAGAAAAGGAAGATGTGGGATAGATTTAGGTTACTGGGGACTGATGAGGCAAAATCTCAGTATCGAAAGGCTCGGAACACTTGTGCCTCGACCCTCCGTAAGTCTAGAAAATTGTACGAAGAAAAACTTGTAAAGGAATCCATAGAATGTCCTAAACGCTTGTATTCCTATATAAACCAAAGGACAAGGAGAAAAGGAAATATTCCTGCTCTATGGGGAGACAGTAGTGCTTCATCATTAGTGGAGGACGACTTTGGTAAGGCTCAAGCGTTCTCGAACTACTTTAGCAACGTGTATACCATAGAAGCGCCCTTCTCGTCAGCGTATACAGATCCCCCCACACATAAACTGGATAGCGTGACCATTAAAGAACTCGATGTCTTTGGTCTGCTAAATAAGCTTGATATAGGTAAATCCACGGGGCCCGATGAATTACATCCTAGGCTACTAAAGGAATTATCTAACTTCGTTGCAAGCCCTTTAAGTACATGCTTTAACCTATCCGTTACGCAGGGTCGCTTACCGAAAGATTGGAAAAACGCCATAGTAAGTCCTGTCTTCAAAACAGGTACGAAACACAAACCTGAAAACTACCGCCCCGTTAGCCTAACTAGTGTGGTTGTTAAAATATTAGAAAAGATTATTAGGGAAGAGCTGTTTAAGTATCTCGATAAAAACCGGATCCTCTCGGAGAAGCAGCACGGCTTCAGAATAGGTTATTCTTGTCTCACTAACTTATTAGTGGCTCGTGAAAGCTGGTGCGCTCTTAAGGACCAAAAGCTACCTGTAGACGTCGCCTTCATTGATTTCAGTAAAGCTTTTGATAAAGTTCCGCACAACCGGCTGTTATATAAGTTAAGAAAAGTCGGGATTGGAGGCAATTTATTGATGTGGATAAAAGACTTCTTAGTTGGGCGTCAACAAAGAGTTCGGGTGAACTCAAAGTTATCTAGCTGGGAAACTGTGCTTAGTGGAGTGCCCCAGGGTACAGTTTTGGGGCCAGTGCTATTCCTCTTGTATGTAAATGACCTTCCTTGTCTCCTATCATCATCGGTCTTGCTATATGCTGACGATGTCAAGCTGGGAAACTGTGCTTAGTGGAGTGCCCCAGGGTACAGTTTTGGGGCCAGTGCTATTCCTCTTGTATGTAAATGACCTTCCTTGTCTCCTATCATCATCGGTCTTGCTATATGCTGACGATGTCAAGATATGGAAAGCGATACGATGTAAGAGTGATAGCTTAGAACTTCAAAATGACCTGAAGAAGTTATCTGAATGGTCTCAAACATGGCAGTTGCCGATAAATACTTCCAAGTGTGTTGTGATGCATATCGATCATCAAGGCACAAATACATACATGATGGATAACACTGAGCTACCTGTCGTCCAGACATATAATGACTTAGGCGTTATCGTTAGTCAAGACTTAAAGACTACTGCACACTGCCGTGCAATAGTCGCCAAAAGTTTTAGATCGTTATGGTCAATACGTAGGGCTTTTAGTCATGTCGACGCTAAGACGTTTTTGACTTTGTATACAGTGTTCGTTCGTCCTAAACTTGAGTACTGCATACAAGCGGCTAGCCCCTGCTTAAAAAAAGACAGTGAGCTTCTGGAAAAGGTTCAGAGAACGGCGACTAAGCTGGTTCCCGGAATAGCAAAGCTTCCGTATGAATCTCGACTGGCCAAGCTGAACCTTTTCCCGTTATCTTATCGCAGAACTAGAGGTGACTTGATTACAGTCTACAAATTGCTTAGTGATAAATTTGCACCTAACATGCCCTCATTTTTCTTGTCTTCCAAAACAGAGAATTTACGAGGACACTCCAAAAAAGTTCACAAGCCGAGAACAAATTACTTGTCAGCTGACTATCGACTTTCCCATCGAATAATCAACGAGTGGAATTCACTACCTCAGCACGTGGTTGAGGCTCCATCCGTCGACTCTTTCAAAAGAAAATTGGATCAACTGAGAGACCACCATTGCCAGGACTAATCTTTGTACGTAATGGCGGTCGGCTATCTTCGCTCTGTGCTTCTTTTAGCTATTTCTTTTGTGTAGCTATGTAATTAATGTTTCAGTGTGCTAAGATGCCGCAGTTGGTGTAATGTTCTACATGTTGGTGTGAAATTTACTTCGAATCAGCATTGTTTTTTGGGTTTTTGCTGCTTCTACTCTAGTCAATGTATTTCTTCAGTCAAGCTGGTTAGTCTTATGTTTTAAAATAAAAATCGGTTTTGTTTTGACTTGTTTTCTAGATATCCAAAGCCGAAGTTCGTTTTTTCTTAGCTGAAATAACTGTCGCTGCCTCCTGTGACTAACTGTCCGCGTGTTCATTCCTAACTGTCCTTTATGATGTTATCGACAAAATGAAAGGGAACAATTTCCGGTTTTTATTTTTCTTCAGTATTGCGGACAACAATATCCCACCAACGAGTCAAACTAATACTTAGTGCCTAGCAGTAGGGGATGTCAGTATTGTTTTCGAAAGTACCCAGGCTTCCGACAACCACAGATGCTACCAATCTATTGCAGAGGGTTTGTTATGAAAAAATATGCCACATAGCAGTAATGGAGGGGTTGTACGCATTACGTAGTGCGTTAAAGCAAGCTTAACATTGAAAAGCCGGAAATCTGCTATCAGTGTGTAGTGTATGTTTTGGCCACAAAAGGAAGCCGAAGGGCCATGATCAGGGAGTAAAAAGGTAACTAACTGTCATTAAGCTCAGCTTTTTATAGACCATAATTCACCACTCGCAAGTTTGTGTTTTTCTACAGTATGACGTCAACCGTTATCTAATATGTTCACCTTTACGATGAAAAGTACCTGCAAATTCTCACCTTCATATTCGAATTATTTTGGGACAACCGTCTTCCAGATTGAGTGCTTCGTACGCCCTGGGAGACTAGATTCCTACATTATTCACAGTTCCAGTATAACTTTCTCACACAGTAAGTTCAAAGTAAACACTAGTCTTCCTAAATAAGCATGTTAAGCTAATATCCGTATTCTCTATTTCAGTTGCTCGGTGAAGACATGTACCACGTGCATCTGCTGTATATTTCCATTTCACTCCAATTCTAACTGTTATATCTTCTGAAAAATAAAATTGCTATATGCAGCAAATACAGACTTATTGTTTTGATGGTGGTAGGAGGGTTCATGGGTTTTTTAGCAGGACTGTAGTAATATTCTCACTAAAGAGCTAAGTGAGTGCGTAGACCAATGTAAAGTACCATATAGGGTGCCTTTGAATTACTCGTGGTCCATTAGTGTCGGTAGAAGCATTACTTGCTTATCATATGACATTTGAATAAGAAGCTATGATATTAGACGCAGGGACGGTCAGGATGTGTAACGCGTGTCCATCCATCAGTTTCTGTGGCAACTCATGGTGGCTAGAATAAGTTTTGAGAAGACCCGAGCCTGTAGGTTTCCCAAGAAAGTGACGGAGATATGCACCAAATCACCTTATGAAGAGCGCCTCCAATCACTTAACCTATACTCATTGAAGTATAGACGTCTTAGAGGTGACCTATTTACTTACAGGATCCTTAACACTTCTGGACATTCTCTTAAACACCTACTTGAGCTTAGTCCTAAAAACTAGAGACACGACATAGCAGAATGGACTGTAGACGTAACTTGTACTCCTTAAGAGTTGTCAGGTGCTGGAATTCGCTGCCCGCCGAACTAGTCCAAGCGACTTCCCAGGAGTCCTTTGGGAGGCGACTGGATCTTTTATTGTTAACATACCTAGGTTCCTGCTTGGAGGTTTTGGTGATCCCCTGCTACTAGACACGGAAGCCTGAACACATGAATTAGGTGATAAGAGGCTCGCTTATCACAAGTTTCTTGCAACGATTAAGTATGTAAAACAAAGTAGCATTAGGTTCAAAAATTTATTCAAGAACTTTCATTAAGAATCCAATATGAAACAAAGGTTTAAACCAAGTTCCAGTCTAAAAGTTGCATTTGTAATGTTAAGCTGCAGTTTTTGTTGTTTTTCCAAACGAAAGGGTAAAAGAAGTAACTCGGAAAGCACTGGAAGTGGTTGTGAGATTAAAATGAACATCCAGCATCCTTTTTATAATCTGCCGTTAGTTGGGTCTCCCGTAAACAGATCCATAGGGCCATAGTTCTAAGGGCGAAACAGTTCTTAGGATCTGTGAAGACTCAGTCTTGTTGCATTCTAAATGAGAAAATAGTAGTGAATTTAGTCAGAAATGTGGAATAGATAAATAACCAAATTACATGTTTTTTAGCAAAGAATTTATGCAGTTGTGATTTACCTTTAGTTTATGAATATTAGGTCAGGTCAGCTATTACTTGTGCAAAGCATAACATGGACTTAATACCGTATCTCAATGCTTTCATTATTTTGCTCTCATTTAAGTATTACCATGTATCTGCATCTAGTTTAACAGGGAGACGTACAAGCAGAGTTAGTGTTTGATGAACTAAAAGTCCTAGTTGTCAAAAAGATTCTTAACATTTGTCCACAGCCAACTGCATTTAATTGAGATACAGAACACTCATCTTCTAAGACTGTATACTGCTCTTCTGTGGGCAAATAAAAGCTCACACACTTAGTTATCCTGCTACCGATGTTATTGCTGGGGAAATTGTTTAATGACAGTGATCATGAAATATGGTCAGTGATAGATGTACAATCTAGAAATAAACAAACATACTTATCGCTATCTTATAATGTATGACAGCAACAGTACCAAAAGCACTTTTTTCCTATTTTTAATCAGACTGATTTGAATCAGTATACTCATCAGAAATAGGCAACTCTACTTACTAGGCTGATCTGTTTCGTTACAGACTTCAAGCACTATACCATAATTCTTTCAACTAAACTGAATTACACGACAACCAAGAATATTAAACTAAGCAAGTGTCATAGTTATTGTTTCATTTGCACAGGCATATTGCTTAAAGTAGTTAAATGGACATAATTAAGACAACATAGGCCATCGAGCCTCATGTCCTTCCCAAACTGAAACTGAAACTGAAACTGAAATATTGCCCTTCTAATAAGGCGCGTATATTAATCTCACAAATGGTCGTTACACGTAAGTATTTTCATATACTCTTATGTATTTATAGGTTTTAAAAAGTTTTCCCATGTACATCCTTTGATAACTACAGCAGTCGTTTTATGGATCTGCGTAATTATCTATTTGAGTTTCAATTTCTTCAATTTGGAAAGTGGTGATCAGCAAAGTTTAGCTTGTCCAAACTTACTGGATGTAATTACTGGTTTAAAATCGCAAGTCGATGTTGGGTCGGTAAATTTAAGGATGTTTCTTACGTCGTATAATGATAAGTTAGTTATAGTTTTTAAAATTAATCAATCTTTCACTAAAGCTTTATTCTTATTCAGGCACTTGAATTGATCCACTTAATTATATATTTTGCATTTACTTATAATGTAGAAAAGAAAACTAGTAAAATCGAGATGGGGAGGGGTAAGAGACGTCACGTTAATATCATATTGTGTTGAATTTAACTCCACAATCCATAGATGGTGAGCAAATTCTGAGGACTTCACTAAATCCTGGTGAACATTGGCACTAGGTCTAGAAACAACACAGGCAATTCCTGATTGGATTCCTGTCGATAGTTGCTTATATCGTGTCCGTCTTGATAGGGTAGCAAGAAGTTGGAGACATAATAGCACACACTGTTGCCTTTTCATCGTTTCTGCATACATTCTCAGCAACTGCAGCTTGGTTCCAGTGAAAGATGCGCTTGCTAAGCGCTTGGACGTCATAGTTGTAGTAGACCCAGATCGGCAAACTAAGGCCAACTGGGAAGCAGATGTGTCTTTTATTGTCTCAGCCTAACGATAACCGTCTGTCTTATTTATAATAATGATTCTTGACGGACACAAACTTCAAGCATAAAGAATCATTGTCTAACCTGGAAACCTCCACTACTAGAAGGGCTTGATTAAAGGCTGTCACTTCTTTAGGAGTGCATGCTTGGACTTCTGTCATTACCGTAGTGAGAGCACGCATTTCTATGAGTCTTTAGATGTAGGACATTCACATCCAAAAGAGGCCTTATGGATCATGTCGAAGATTGAAACGTTGAGGGTACGTTTAGGGGAGGACTAGTTAAGTAATTAGTTGATTGTATTGAGACAGTGTACGTTAAAGAGGTTTCGAATCATGTCCAAGCGTCTATAAATACTTCAGTAGCATCTACCAGCAACTTAAATCAAGGTTTAGGAAAAACCAGTGGGTTTTGATGGTATTTCTTAAACTGACATGTTCTAAAACTCATCCTGTTAAACTTGAAGAATGGTATTGAAGCTCGATAACGAGAAGCTTACCCAACGATCATAAGCAGTGGTAGACAACGAAAGCCAAAGGGATGGAAAAGAGGCACAGTAGGTAACTCTAGATAAATATCGCGACTCATTAATGAGACAAATATATGAAAGTCCTTATTCAAATCCCAAGAAAAGCAGTAGTTATTCACTCCCAGTCCATAAGATTAGACCGATTGGTAGAGCACTTTAGATAATACTTCAAATGAACTGCAGTTGCGCATTATTTTCAAACGACATGCATGAGAACCTGACTTACATTTCTCAACACTTGAGATTAAAGAGCCTACAGGGAATCTAAAACAAGGGTAGGCAGTATGGTTTGATGGAGTAACGCTGGAGATCTTCAAGGATAGTGGTCCAATTGCAGTTATCAGACCCACAAACACTAGCTAGAGATTGAGAGCTTGACTTATTCCCATCCGTCTGGTTTCGACCAGTGATCGTTATGATTAGGGAGAAAGGACAAGTATCGTCTTCGACAACCACAGTGGAATCAGTTTGACTGATGTAGTGTCTAAAATACTAGCCTCCACAATCTAACACTAAACTAAGGTTCGCGAAACGAAAACTCTGGAGAACCAGTTGATTTAAGCTTGGCTGTGGATGTTTTGAACAAATGTTTGCTCTTCGTTAATATTTAGAAAAACGATGTACTTTTTGCCCCCGAAACAGTTTTCTTTCTTGACCTCAAGACGGCATTTGACTGTTGATTGAAAGGCTTCGTAACCAAAGAAGTACATTAACCTTGCTCGTGTATGTTGGTATCACCGAATGAGGAATGTTATAATTAGGCATAGACTACGAGCTAAGGATGCCAAATGGATTGATGAGATAATAAGTTGTCATCCGCTAAGGTGATTGGTACATGCGTTGAGAATACCTAACCATTGCATATTTCGATAGACGATGCTGTGCAGTTTTGTTAGCGGGACATAGACTGGATTAAAGCATGCTCAATGCACGATTGCTTTTGTGCACGCTGATTGGCTGATTCTTATCCAATCAACACTAGTCGATATTTGGAGAATACTTTAGAATCTTCTCATGTAAAAACTATAAATATACTAACGTTCTCCCTATTGTGCTTCTTACTTGCTTCTTACTTCCATCTAACCTTGTTATTTGGAATCTAATCTCTTTCCTGTTCAACCGTGTTCTGATTTGGGGACTTGTCGAGTGAATCGGTGTCTGAGAATACTGAGCAATAGGAATAGCTTGGTCATAACACTAAGAAAGGGATTATAACTAGTTTATAATTAGGACAAAAGAAAACCAGGGGTGGTTAAACCAAAATATGCAATTAGTCCATGAAGGCATTGACTATTGTACTGAGCCACGTAGGTAAGTACAGATTACCTGGTTTTGGTCCGCGTGGTAACTGCTGCTCCCAGTATCCTCCCACATTTCCCTTTCCGCTGACATTTCGTGCCTTGTTTTCAATGTTTGGTATATTTCGTTGTCATTTTTGCCATATTATTTTGATCTCTTGCTTTTCATCCTATGCTAATGGTATATGACAACTAGACATTGCACATCTGTCCGAGGCTCTTTGTTAATGATTGACTGAAAAGTGAACCAGCTATTTACTTTCGCCTGTTACCCCTTGTGGAGCTATCAATCAATCAATATATTCAGTAATCCTATTTAAAAATTTGTCTTCAAATGCTGCAATATGTTTTCATATTTTAAAAGATATCAATAATATGAATTATAATAATAGAATTTTCCGATTAATTTTATTTTTTCTGCAATAGAAACAAAAAAGAAAATACTATTGTAGAAAGAGGTAAGTTGTGTATGACAACTTCTGGTATTGACTAGATATTTTCCATATAGAACACTATGAGCTTTAAATCATTAATTACATGATCTTAATGGTGTATCATACTTGCTACTGTTTTTAGTTCACCCTTAAACATTTTAATACCAACTGAAAATAATTCCTTATTGGGAATATTCATTTTCTGGGCTATAAGTATTCCCTGCATAATGTGTCAATATATCATGATACATTTACCAGTATATTCCGGTTGAATCTTATGTTTATGGGAAACACTGATGTATGAGCGAGGAATATTCTTAATAAATTCGCTTAAGCTTGTACAATTATATATTCAAATTAACAATTCGAAAATTAGCTACATTTAAGGTAATTACATCGTTTAAAATTATAACATGTGAATCCAAGGCTAATGTTCAAGTTGCATGGAGCGATTCAAAGAACCTTTAGCGTAGGGGGACTACAATTAATGCTTTCTACACGTTCGATGGTCACTCCAAGATTGAAGAATAGATTACATAGACTAATCATCTCTTTATGTGTATGTAAATTCAAGTGCTCTTGTGGAGCAAATTATATTGAGAGGTGTCATAAGAATTTGTACATTAAACGTGGTTAATTTTCGTATTATGAATTTGAATATATAATTGTATAAGCTTAAGAGAATTTATTGAGAATATTCTTCGTTCTTATATCTGTTTTAAATATGGTGGGAATTTTTCAGCGAATAGAATGTAATCAACCCATTGCACTGAAGACACTCAACTAGTTCCTTGAGTATAGTGTAAAGGTCATAGAGACAAAAATATTGGAATTTGTGGGAAACTTTGTGGGTTAGGTTAGTATCCTAAACTATTTTTTAAGTCATTACTCCTTAATTAGATTCATCTAGAGAGATAAGCATTAAAACGTCATGCATTTTACCAAATCGATACATTCAATGCTATTTATTTATTAGTTATTTATTTGAGCACATAAATATTGGTACAAGAGTGCGCCAAATATGTATGCGCCAAACAAACAATGATAATCTAAAGAGAAGGAAAAAAAGGTAAGGAGCGTAAAAAAACAATGACGAAGAGATTGGCGTAAGGAGGTGTAGTAATAATAATGGCGGACCGGAAAGGTACAATCAAAAGAAATCTTTCAGTTAAGGAACATACAACCACTTTTTACGAAAAAAGTAAAAGAAGGCTACAGCAGGATCGCCACTGGCTTCTATTCTGAGCCATATCTAGTAACGTCTCTAGCCACTGTGTAGCACCATCTCTCGGATCCCAGCCAACGAGTAATGAAAGACCAACACAAGCCAGCCCTTTGCAGCTTTCATTCATACCACGACACTATGTCATAAACTGACCACCTCTCCGCTTTTTCCAACCAGTCCCAGCGTCGGCAAGTAATGCACGATGAGGAATTCTCTAGGACGACATTCGTAGGACATGTCCAAGCCGCCAAAGTCGATGTTTCAAGATGGTGACACCAATTGGACTATCGTCTCCGCACCCGAACACACGATGCCGAACCTCTGCATTACTAACATGGTGCTGCCACTGGATGTTAGCAATCCTTCGGAGACAACGATAATCAAACACAGGGAGTCGTCTAACATCCTCAACTCGGAGAAGCCAGGTTTCACAAGCATGGAGCAAAACTGCTATCATCGACGCGTTGTAGATCCGACCTTTTACAGCCAGACTGACATCAAGAAGGCGCCAAAGATGGACCAGATTGGCATAAGCCGCTCTGGCTTTCATTATACGTGAATCGATCTCATCACTCACGCCATCACCAGCACTTATGCAGCTACTCAGATACACGAACTTCTCGACTACTTCTATCTGTTCACCATCCAGGGTGAGTACAGGATTAGAATCCTGCCAGTCTTGTAGAAGTACTTTGCACTTCGAAGGTGCAAAGCACATATCATACCTATGGACACTGATTACCAACTGATTAAGTGCGGATTGCATGCCTTGGGCATTGTCGCACAGAAAGACAACATCATCCGCATACTCAAGGTCAATAAGTATTTTCCAGGCAACTGATCCACACCACCATTACTTAGATCCATCAGAACTGTTTCCAGAATGTCATCGATGGCAAAGTTGAAGAGGAATGGTGAGATCGGGCAACCATGCCTAACCCCACTGCTCGAATGGAACAATGGCGATAGTTGGTTGTATGCCCTCACTCTGCTTGAAGTGTTTGTATATAGGGCTTGGAGGATGTTAATAAGCTTCTCAGGCACACGCTTCTTTAAAAGACAATCCCAGAGAACAGTCCTTTTCAATGAATCAAAGGCGACCCTACTGTCAAGAAACACTACGATTGTTGGCTTTTGATAAGTATGGCGATGTTCTAACATTTGGCGGAAGGTGAAGATATGATCAATACATCCTCGACCAGAACGAAACCCAGCCTGCTCCTCGCGAGTCAATCATTCTCGGGTTTTGAACAACCTACGAAGTATGACGGAAGCCAATAGCTTGAATGCAATCGGAAATAGACTTATTCCCCGATAGTCGTTACAGGAACGAAGTAAACCCCTTTTAAAGATAGGGACAACTATCGACTCATTCCATGACGATGGTACACTCTCTAATTCCCAAACCTTTGTAAACAAGGTCGTCAGTTCCTTAGCCAGAAAGTCACTACCATCTTTAAAAATGGAAGGGGGTGAGTCCTCTGAGCCCGGTGATTTGTAGCGCTCCAAGAGTTGGAGTTCCTTATGGACTTCCACCTCATTTGGTGGATCAGTAGTCATCGGCCATGGAGGACAGGACAGTCTGACCGATGTTACCGCATCAGCAGGCCAGTTGAACTGCCCTTCGAAAAATTCTGCCCATCGTACAAGACGTCGATGGATGCTAGTGATTGGCGTTCCGTCATCCTCGCAGATTGTTTCGCTCACACCTGACTTCTTGCTGCCAGTGACTCGGATGAGTTGGAAGAGCTTCCGGTAGTTACCAAATGCAGCTGCTGCTTCCAGCTCATTAGCACGCTCCGACCACCAGGCTTCTCGGTCCTTACGCAAGTTTTGCACAATTTCATTACGTAACAGCTTTCGTTTGTGGTCAAACTCACGGTCACACGGAGTAGACCTACGGGCTTCGATGAGTTGTAAGGAGCCTAAAAAAACCTAGTGCTTATAAGCGGTATGTTTCGCGAAGCCGCAAGCGACTTCACTCGCCATTTACATAGCGCCATGCAATTGCAACCAATGCTCATCTATGCTTTTCGGTGGAATGGTAGCTGGCCTAGAAACTAGATCGGTTGGATACTTACTTGCAACAGAAGTTGCAACCAACTTGCTGACATCAATCCTTTAGTGACGATCACTGCGTTGGCCACTGAAAGTAAGATAAGATTAGCGCAGACCAAGGCATATTCAGAGTCCATATAGGTACTCCAAAATGAGCGCAGTCTTGTAAACAACCTCGCCAGCGGTAGTTGATCGCGATGTGATCAATCTGAAGGAGGACGTCAGTTGGTATATCGGCGATGACTGTGCCGAAAGTTAGTGCTAGCCAGAAACAGGTTGTGGTCTGCGCACAGTTGCAGTAGACGGTCCCCGTTATCTGTCCTGCGACCAACAAGTCCCCATCGGCCAACTAAACGGCTCTCTTCTGTGCCTAGACGCCCTACCTGAGCATTCAAGTCTCCGGCTAGTACTACAATATCTGTCGGATGTATTTTCTGTAGAACAACACTCAACAGGTGGTAGGCTTATCCTTGATCGCATTCGGATTGCAATATGTCGGAGTGTAGGCAGAGATGACGAAAGCACATCATTTCTCATACCGATTTCTGCTCACTTTGATGGAGCTTTCCAATTTAATAGGACATAACTGACTGTTAATGGGGATCCAATAATGATTTGAAGGAGATAGCAATAAACATTGTTCGCAAAGAATTTTGCTTTTAGTGGACTAACAAAGGCCTTATGTCACAGATTATTGATCACATTGCAGAGATATTTAACCAGAGATCGGAGAACTTCTGAAAAGCCTAAGAAATCTACCAGTCGAAAATAAATTTCCCACTAAACGTAATATGTACCTTCATAATTTTTCTGGTACGAAATTAAACAAAGGGAAACTTGGAGTTTTAGCCCTAGGCTTAAAGTTTTATGGTACATGCAACGGAAATTCAGTTTTAAGACAGGTTTTCAGACATCAGATCTAGTTCCGACCACCGATTAAGAAATTGAACGTTTTGAATCAAATCTCGATTGTTGCTATAAGTTTAAAAACAGTGAATATAACTAAGAAACCATTTTAGTAAAAAAAAAACACATGAAGGCTATCGATGAACTCATTAAAGAGGAAAATGTTATTATTAAAAGGCCAGGTGAAGGAACAGGAACTGTCTTAGCTAAAAACTGTATTGACAAGACTAACATCTTGACTGATCACGTAAAATCCTAAAAACTGAATGACCACAAATACATCAGTAATAAGATAGAAAATAAACAGACCAGATCTGTGTAAAAGTTCAAATGACAACATAATTTCACCAAGTATATACGAACCAGTTAAGCTGATAAGCACTCATTCACAAAAGTTATATTGATTACCGAAGGTACGTATACCAGATATCCCATTGTAACCAATTCTGGGCATGTACGATTCCCCTTATCATACTGTAATAAAGCTGTTAGTAACCATTTTAAAGCCACTCCATAAATATCTAATGAAGGATGTATTCCAGTTCGTCGACAAGATCAGGAACAAACTAAAGAACAAAAGATAATGTCTTGTGACGTAACATCATTGTATACAAATGTCTTACTCATGAAAACTGTCGAATATATCTGTGAACAACTTAGAAAACTAGAACTAGAAACTACAATCCATCTGGGCATCGTTAAGGAAATATTACTAAACTGTAATATGAACGTAAACTTCAAATTCAATGGTGAAATCTATGGCCGAATAGATATTGTCACACTAGATTCACTACTAGGTCCCGTACTGGCTGACATTTTTCTCACTATACTAGAAAACGGTACACTGGCACGGCTTAATGGCAAGTGCTCATTTTCCTGCCGACATATGGATGATACGTTGTAAAGACCATACTAACCGGGTATAGGGTGAAAGTAGCGTTCAAGCAAGCTTTTACCCTAGAAATTTTAAGTATGACGAGCAATAACACATCAAGAATATTCGTGTAAAGGTTATTCAGTGTGTGTTAGCGGGGCATATAGTGGATTAAATCATGCTCAATGCACGCTTGCGTTGGCGCACGCTGATTATCTAATTCTTATCCAATCAGCTCTAGTCGATATTTGGAGAACACTAGAATCCTCTTATGTAAAAACTATAAACGTACTAATGTTTCTCCTATTGTGCTTCTTACTTCAATCTAACTTTGTTATTTGGAATATAATCTGTTCAACCGTGTTCTGATTTGGGGACTTGTCGAGTGAATTGGTGTCCGAGAATATTAAGCAATAGGAATATCTGGGTCGTAATAAGAGAGAATTATAACAGTATGTTTATCGGTATTACTCTTTTATTTTACTTATTCTCATAGTTGGGATACATGGTATGTCATATGAAATCTTACGTCGTCGTGCTTTGCAGTATGCTCGTGAAATCAAGTATAATCTTGTTCAACTTGATAATGTGAATATGAAAATAAAAACTATTAAAAACTACTCTTTAATCGAACCGTTAAAAGAAGCGCAAGTCTCACTGGAGCGATTAAAAAGTCAGTTACAAGATATTTCATTACACTTACACGTTGATATTGATGGGATTGGACGAGTTGACGGTGTGTTGGAATCACGAATGAATTATCTGGAATATTTATCAAATGAACTTCAAAGTGAATTATTCCAATTGCAGGTTGGTTGTACGTTAAATAATATTGTGTGTTATTATTTTGAGCTTTATAACAACTCTTCATAACTGTGACATTAGGCTGTTTTACCTATGGTGATTATATTAGGACTACGAAGTTATACTTACCCTTAATTCATGGAGTGTGATTTGAAAATGTGACGTAATGTCTGAACTAACTAACTACAACTCTGCACATTTTAAAACTAATGCCCTGTTCATATTGAACTCGTTAGCAGCATACGACAATCACTACCTTTTGTTGTTGGAAATTGTGGATGCTTCTGGTCTTCCATAACCTTCCCCTAAATAAATGTGTGGAAATTGACGTCAGATAACCTTGTAAACCTAAAACCATACTTCTAAATTCCACAATTCAGAATTGTATTTTATTCTGCTTCTTTTACACAGGTTGTGTAAAGACACTATTTGTTTCTCAGTATTCATATTTAATAGATAACATACCACTCGGGAATTAAATAGGATTATTTTATTCATCTACAATTTTATTTTCTCAACCGTAGGCTCATTTTTTCGAATGGGATATTAATCTTTTCGACTTGTGACCTTATAAGTACATAAGTTATTTCGGATCTGTGTTAATAGGTACACAAAATTTGCTGTTTTGTTTCGTCTGTAATTGACCAATTTTTCTGAGCCAAATATATTTTTGCGATCTATTACTTTTTGGTGCTACACAAATTGTAAACCATAAAATAGGATAGTTAGCAAAGATTAACAAGGTAAGGAACCATAAATCATGAGTTAAAAGTCTCTAGTTCAACTAAAAAAATATGAAAAATAGATGGAAACAAGTTCAGAAAAGAAATTGAATAAAAATGTCTATTCACAGCCCCAATAAACTGATGAATGTATGTTGTAGATCTATCAGTTTACTTTTCTCATTTGTATAGTGCATGTCATCAGTATTCAATTTCCGTATTCTTATTTTTAAGATGCTGTTAATCTTGTCTCATTAGATGATTGATCAGATTAATTAGAATATTGATCGGTGGTTTATTGACTTTAGCTCCTGAATTTCATTTGTTGGGGACTGATGAAATCTCGGAATACATTGAGAAAGCCTGCTTAGCTTTTGTAAATTTGCGTAGGAAAGGTGACCATCTTTCAACCGTGGAGGAGGATAAACTGCTCATCACTCCGCTCTTACTTTATAGCTTTGGGACTTGGACTAAAAGGGTAGGGGACAAGCAATGTGATCATAAGTGACGCCAAAGTATCGGTTGCGTATCGTAAGCAATGCCTTCATTATACATCAAATACTGGGCAGTTATATCAAGTTGGTTGATAGTTCTGTGAATTTTTATCGACTGAAGGGGTTAAAGAGTATAATCTACTCATTGCTTTCCTCGATGTCCATTGATGGCTGCGATAGGAGCAAGTTGGAAAAAAAGCTAGAAGCGATCAATCCAAAATATAGTATCAGTCTCTATCATCATTTACTGTTTTTTAGGCACCTTTCATAGATCCACGTTACCTGGTTGGGGTTCAAGTGATTAATAATTAATGTAAATAAATAGTATATTGGTAATATCCCAATGAATGGAAAAATTAGATTTTCTATTCATTGGGATATTACAAGTATACTTTTTATTTATAACAATCTACCCAATGCTCAGTTTATTCGAAATTATCAAATCAAACCTTGGTAATGATACCTATGATAATTAATGGTTTGGCGTGTCATGTCTCAAAACTGCTAGCGGTGATTCAGATACACTTAATGTTTATTTTACTCTATATTTTGGCTTCATATATTCTTTTATACGTAACTCATTTCGATTCATTCAATTCCAGCCGCGTTTTCAGTATTTAGTCCTTTTCACCATTAATGATACTATCATTACTTCGTCCTTTTTGCTATTCAGCTTATTACTTTCGTTTTGTCAATCAGTTAATCATATGCAACATAAAGCCTCACATGTATATGCATCGACCCAAGTTGTTCCACCACATTAGCACAGCGAAATGAAATTATCAACGCGAATCACAGAACAGTAAAAGTATTTATTGTGATGAGCGGTGTCCGAAATCTGATACTGATACACGGTGTGCTACGTTTATGATTTTATTTATTTATTTAAACATAAAGATTGGTACATGGAGGCACCAAATATATTTGCATCACACAAATCATTCGATTTGTGAGAGGGCTGGAATACTGCCTGGACACCCAATCCGAAGCAGGTGGTTTCCTTAGAAGGACACACCGAGACATTTAAATAAAGGTCTAATCCACAAGGCAGTAGAGCAACGTCAGGAGATGCAGTTCTATGGTAGCTAGTGACCATTTGGTTCATACGCCATTTGTTCCTAAAGGATCCTGGAGCCCATGTGCACCATTGGTTTTGAATCAGGGTTTTCCAACTTCTCTAGGTGGATCCTCAGTGTCCAGCAACCCGATTAAGAGCGCCGAAAATTTTCTTTTCGTCCTCTCAATTTCATAAACAACAGTAATACCGCGAGAAGGCAATGAGTAGTACTTCACTGTCAGCGTCTGTATACTCCTGGTCACGTGAGCGCATTTCGTGAGGTAGAGAGGACTCCTCATTCGGGGCGCTAACCCCCCAACTAACCACTTGAGTGAGGGCACAAGAGTGGGCGAGAAAGTGTATTGGGCTACCGAATAAAATGCACAAATACTCACTCATATATATTTACCACTCTAATATTTATGAAATTGATCCATTTCCTAGGCAATGAAGTGCACTTGTCGTTTAGGTCACTTCTGATTGGCTCTCTATACCAGTATTAACATTATCAGTTGTAGTTGTAGTAGGAAAAATTAAGTATAATAACAGAAAAGGAGTAGAAAAAGATTTCGAGATTCAGAGTCTAAGATGAAACTAAAAGTGAATATATCTTTACTGAATGTATCATATTATCATTGGCACTATAAATAATAATCGCTAGGCCCAGCCAAACCTAAACGTGATATCAGTCCATGAAGTCACTAACTATTGTACTGAGCTATGTAGGTAGGTGCAGAGTACCTGGTTGAGGTCCACATGATAACCGCGATCAGTGTTTGAAGATGTCGAATGCCATAGCACAGAATCAATCGCAATAGCAAAGTTTAGTAGATTTGAATTTGTATTTCACTGTTAAAAAATTCTGTACAGTAATCTATGATTTATATACTAATATATTTAATTAATTAATGAGAGTTTATTTATATTCTACTTCGTTTATTTTGTAATTGTTTTGTTTACAGAATCCCTCAAGTTGTACAAAAGCTAAATATGTGGTTGCCTCGTTTAATAGACATTGTGCATTCGGTTGTAATGCCCATCATTTAATGTATTGTTTCCAAATGGCCTATGCAACTGGGCGTACATTAATCTTGAATCCTACTGATGGGGAGGAATACACACACTGGTGGATAAAACACTTTTTGCCATTATCTCAGAAATGCAGTATAAATGATATTCAATCAAATATCCATTCTGATTGTAAGCTTTCTTTAAAAAATATTTATAGTTCCAGTGTAATCTTGCCGTTCTTCATTTATCTTAAGAATTATGCTAGTGTGATGTGGTGCGACAATATCCATTTTGTTTGATATCAATACACAAAAGATTTGTTTCTGCAAATAACTTATCTGTTTACAAATGACATCTTTCTTATGACTTACTTAGGCCTACTATGCCTCTTGAGCTCTAGGCTTCTGAAAGAGATCTCCAAAGTTCTCTTTCATATGGTCTCTTACTCAGTTGTTCCGAAGTCGTATTGATGATTTTAGTGTCTCCTTCCAGTTACCAGTGCCCCCGAATGCCCTGGTATGGCCGAGAGTGGGGTGGGCCCGTCCTCCCTCTCGAAATTCTCTCACACGGCCACGCGTATACAGCCTCTGTCAGGGAAGTCCTATTCATTGCCTTCTCGTGGCGGGGCTGTTGTTTGCGAAATTAAGAGGACGAAAATCGATTGTTCGGCGCTTTAACTGGATTCCAAACCAACGGTGCACCTGGGCTCAAGTATCCTGCGGGAACAAATAGCGTATGAACCAATCGTTGGTCACCGGCTACCATGGGACTGCATCTCCTCACGATGCTCCATTGCCTCGTGGGTCAAACCTTTAGGTCCAAGGCTCGGGTTGTGGCCCCCTAAGAAAACCACCTGCTTCGGTCTGGGCACCCGGGCAGTATCCCAGCCCTCACACAAATCGAATGATTTATGTGGCGCATATGTATTTGGTGCCTCCTTGTACCAATGTTTATGTGTTTAAGTAAGTAATAAATACAGTTACCAGTGCCATATGTCCTTTGGTCTGCTTAATCCCCTTTATTTTTCTCTAATTTGGCCCTCCATTGGATTTTTGATTCGGTTCAACAACAATGTTGATAACCTTGTCTGGTACTGAAAGTGGTATGGCACTTCTATGGTTTTCACACTTATTAAAACCTTTTTTGTTTGTTATCTTAATAAGGTTTTCCTCTTTCCATTCCTTCTGTACTTGTTCTTCTTTCCAGGTCTTTCAGCAGAGAATATAAAATATTCTTGGGGTTAGCTCTACATCTACAGGGTTCTCCATAGTGTTATCCAGTGAAACTCAAGTAGCTTTGTGCATAGATTTACGGGGGTAAATGCTTCTACGTAGGACCATGTTGTCGAAGTACAGAAATTCACTATTGTCTCATTCTCTTTTCTTCCCTTCAGTCCATGTCGCCTCATGATGTTTTGATGCCCGTCGTTGTCTACTCCGTCTTTAATGATTAGGTCTCCCGTCTGAATGGTCAGGTCTTTTCTTAGTAAACTGAAGCCTCATGAAATTGGCTTTTATTATCTTTGCTGCCACCATTGGTATTGTTAAGTGTGAAGTAGTACTGGGAGACATTCATTGTGATCTTTTCATTCTTCATTTTGAAGGATAGTTTAATGATCCTGAAGCCTTGAGTCTCTTATTCTATAAGCGCTTTTAGTGTTTCTTTGGAGGACAAGATCAAAGAAAGGAAGAACAAGAAGGCAGCAATAAACAACAGCCAAACACGAGCAGAGAAAGTCCAAGCACAAGCTGAATACATAGAAGCAAACAAACAAGTGAAGAGAAGCATTAGAGCCGACAAGAGGAAATACGTGGAAGAACTAGCAACGACGGCAGAAAAAGCTGCTAGAGAAGGAAATATGAAACAGCTTTACGATACAACGAAGAAACTATCAGGGAAATACAGTAAACCAGAGAGACCGGTCAAAGACAAAGAAGGCAAGCCAATCACCGAAATTCAACAACAGCGGAACAGATGGGTAGAATACTTCGAGGGACTCCTGAATAGGCCGGCTCCAACGAATCCACCGGACATCGAAGCGGCACACACAGATCTTCCCATAGACGTCAACCCACCAACGAAAGAAGAAATCAGAATGGCCGTCAGACAAATCAAGAACGGGAAAGCAGCGGGACCCGACAACATACCAGCTGAAGCACTGAAGTCAGACATCGAAGCAACTACAAACATGCTTTACCATCTATTCAAAAATATTTGGGAAGAAGAACAAGTGCCGATGGACTGGAAAGAAGGACACCCCGTCAAGATTCCAAAGAAAGATCTGAGCAAATGTGAAAACTACAGAGGCATTACACTGCTGTCAATACCAGGGAAGGTCTTCAACAGAGTGTTGCTGAACCGGATGAAAGACGCAGTAGACGCCCAACTTCGAAATCAACAAGCTGGATTCCGTAAGGATCGGTCGTGCACAGACCAAATTGCAACACTACGGATCATCGTCGAACAATCAGTTGAGTGGAACTCATGACTATACATCAACTTCATTGATTATGAAAAAGCATTCGACAGTGTAGATAGGAGGACATTATGGAAACTTCTTCGACACTATGGAGTTCCTGAGAAGATTGTCAACATTATCCGGAACTCATACGACGGACTACAGTGCAAAGTCGTGCATGGAGGACAACTGACAGATGCATTCCAAGTAAGGACCGGAGTCAGACAAGGCTGTTTACTCTCTCCCTTCCTCTTTCTTCTGGTGGTCGACTGGATTATGAAGACCTCGATATCTGAAGGTAAACACGGAATTCAATGGAGAGCTCGAAATCAATTAGACGATTTGGACTTCGCAGATGACCTAGCCCTCCTATCACGTACACACGAACAGATACAGACAGCCAGTGTAGCAGCAGTCTCTGCATCAGTAGGCCTCAGCATACACAAAGGGAAAACCAAAGTCCTCAAATTCAAAGCGGAAAACAACAATCCAATCACTCTTGATGGCGAAACTCTGGAAAATGTAGAGTCCTTCACATAACTAGGAAGCATCATCGATGAACAAGGAGGTTCAGATGCAGACGTAAAGGCAAGGATTGGCAAAGCAAGGACAGCATTCCTACAGTTAAAGAACATATGGAACTCAAAACAACTTTCAACCAATATCAAAGTGAGAATCTTCAATACCTACGTCAAGGCAGTTCTACTGTATGGAGCTGAAACTTGGAGAACTACAACAACCACCATCAAGAAGGTACAAGTATTTATAAATAGCTGTCTACGCAAGATACTCAACATCCATTGGCCGGATACTATCAGCAATAGCCTTCTGTGGGAGAGAACAAACCAACTTCCAGCTGAAGAAGAAATTAGGAAAAGACGATGGAAATGGATAGGACATACATTACGCGAATCGTCAAACTGTGCATCACGAGGCAAGCGTTAACTTGGAATCCTGAAGCGAAGCGAAAAAGAGGAAGGCCAAAGAACACATTGCGTCGGATAATAGAAGCAGATATGAAAACGATGAATTACAACTGGACGGAGCTAGAAAGGATTGCCCAGGACAGGGTTGGATGGAGAATGCTGGTGAGCGGCCTATGCTCCTTCATGAGGAGTAATAGGCGTAAGTAAGTAAGTAAGTTGGAGGGGTTTAGTGCCAAATCTTTTTATTTGATTTATTATTTATGACCAGACTGCAGAATCTCTCTTGAAGTTAGTCTTTCTTGTCCAGATTATTTTTGATGAGTTTCATCTATTTCAAGCAATACCAGGCTGCATTTTCTCATTTCTACGGCTATTGGAATGAGCCTTTTTGTCTTCTACATCGCTTGTACATTCTATATCATATATATTTTTGCTTTTGATAGAGTAGGTAAAAGGAACACTGGCATTGTGACCCTCAAAGTCGCGGGTTTCACTACGAAGTGTCGTAACTCCTATTAATCAAGACCGAGTTCCGGAGCAGTTTAGTCAGTTTAACTTATTTACTCTAGTTAGGTTATTTTTGTCTGGTTTCGTTTTACGAGGTTGTGTTGCTTACCCTACACCGTAACCTTCTTCACCTGAGATTGGGATCGGTAGTAATCCTAGAAGTGTTGCAAACGCAGTTATCTTCCTGATGGATGACGAATAAAAAGTACTTTGAAATGTTTAGCTAAAATATCCAACTAGTGTTTTCCATATTGACAGTGAAAAAATCCTATGTTTATACACGATACCCCAGAGTGCCAGTTCTTAAGGGAACTAAGAAAACACTTTCGGTTCCCCATCTTCCCACTTTGAGTAATTGAAAAAACCCAAACATAAGCGATTAACATATTATGGAAGTCCATGTACCGGAACACACCATTGTCTACTCAATGTTGTACTTTCTGGTTTGTAATTCAAATGACGATAACTACTAGAAAAAAATATTCTTGCTTCAATTAGCATTCAGACAAATTACATTCACAGTCATTTGATAGCATTCATTTTCATTTTTTAATATACTACATCACTTATCTACTCTCTTCTATTCTCAATTTGTGTATTCTTACATTTCAACTTATACAACAGCTCGCCTGTGGTGAGTATCTGTTCTACCACCGACTACGAATACTGAAACAGTCTTTCTGAAACCATGTATGCAATTCAAACCAGTCTCCTTCAACGTTCGCACACTAAATCAGATCGGGCAACAGGTGGGGTTGGCTGTCTTTAGAAAGTTTTAATATCGGCGTCTGATATCTATCCAAGACCCTTATTCAAGACTCTGGTGAAGTACTACAAGTTCACTTTCCATCTGTCACTTCGAAGAGCTTGCTTCACGTGCGTTTATCTGGGGGCCCTATGGGATCTTCGTCTGGTCTTGCTGGCGTTGGTGTCTCACCAAGCGCTAGATCTGAGGCAGCACTGAATGATTGGATTTCCATTGACAGTCGGTTATGTCCTATTAAATTAGAAAGCTCCATCAAAGTGAGCAGAAATCGGTATGAGAAATGATGTGCTTCCGACATATTGCAATCCGAATGCGATCAAGGATAAGTCCTACCACCTGTTGAGTGTTGTTCTACAGAAAATACATCCGACAGATATTGTAGTACCAATGGGAAACTTGAAGGCACAGATGAGGTGTCTATGCACGGAAGAGAGTCGTTTAGTTGGCCGATGAGGACTTGTTGATCGCAGGTCAGATAACGGTGACCATCTTCTGCAACTGTGCGCAGACCACAACCTATTTCCGGCTAGCGTTAACTACTGGTATAGTCATCGCCGATGTGCAACTTGGCGTCCTCCTTCCGGATTTAAAACCTGGACTCAGATTGATCACATCGCGATCAGCTATCGTTGGTGTGGCTGTGTACACGACTGCAGTCAGTCTGTCTGTTGCCGCTTATAAGCACTAGGTTTTTTTGGGCACCTTACAGCTTTCTGAAGCCAGTCGGTTTACTCCGGGTGACCATGAGTTTGACCACAAACGAAGGATGTTACGTAATGAAATTGGGCAAAGCTTGCGTAAGAACCAAGAAGCCTGGTGGTCGGAGTGTGCCAATGAGTTTGAAGCAGCAATTGCATCTGGTAACTGTCGGAAGTTCTTTCAACTCATCCGATTCACCGGCAACAAGAAGTCTGGTGTGAGCCAAATAAACTGTAAATATGAAGGGATGCCAATCACTAACATCTATCGACATCTTGGACGATGGGCAGAGTTTCTTAGGGAGCAGTTCAACTGGTCTACTGTTCCGGCAACATCGATCAGACTGTCCTGCCGTCCATGGAAGGCGGAAGTCCATAAGGAACTCCAACTCTTGAGCGCTACAAATCACCGGGCTCAGAGGACTCACCCCCTTCCATTTTTAAAGATGGTAGTGACTTTCTGGCTAAGGAACTGACGACCTTGTTTACAAAGGTTTGGGAATTAGAGAGTGTACCATCGTCATGGAATGAGTCCACGTCTTGGACGATGGGCAGAATTTTTCGAAGGGCAGTTCAACTGGCCTGCTGCTCCGGCAACATCGCTCAGACTGTCCTGCCCTCCATGGCCGGTGACGACTGATCCACCAAACGAGGAGGAAGTTCGCAAGGAACTCCAACTCTTGAAGCGTTACAAATCACCTGGCCCAGATGACTTACCTCCGGCTCTTTTTAAAGATGGTGGTGACTTTTTGACTAAGAAATTGACGACGTTGTTTACAAAGGTTTGGGAACTAGAGTGTGTACCAACGTAATGGAATGAGTCGATAGTTGTCCCTATCTTTAAAAGGGGTTTACTTCGTTCCTGTAACGACTATCGGGGAATAAGTCTATTTCCGATTGCATTCAAGCTATTGGCTTCCGTCATACTTCGTAGGTTGTTCAAAACCCGAGAATGATTGACTCGCGAGGAGCAGGCTGGGTTTCGTTCTGGTCGAGGATGTATTGATCATATCTTCACCCTCCGCCAAATGTTAGAACACCGCCATACTTATCAAAAGCCAACAATCGTAGTGTTTCTTGACAGTAGGGTCGGCTTTGATTCATTGAAAAGGACTGTCCTCTGGGATTGTCTTTTAAAGAAGCGTGTGCCTGAGAAGCTTATTAACATCCTCCAAGCCCTATATACAAACACTTCAAGCAGAGTGAGGGCATACAACCAACTATCGCCATTGTTCCATTCGAACAGTGGGGTTAGGCATGGTTGCCCGATCTCACCATTCCTCTTCAACTTTGCCATCGATGACATTCTGGAAACAGTTCTGATGGATCTAAGTAATGGCGGTGTGGATCAGTTGCCTGGAAAATACTTATTGACCTTGAGTATGCGGATGATGTTGTCTTTCTGTGCGACAATGCCCAAGGCATGCAATCCGCACTTAATCAGTTGGTAATCAGTGTCCATAGGTATGATATGTGCTTTGCACCTTCGAAGTGCAAAGTACTTCTACAAGACTGGCAGGATTCTAATCCTGTACTCACCCTGGATGGTGAACAGATAGAAGTAGTCGAGAAGTTCGTGTATCTGAGTAGCTGCATAAGTGCTGGTGATGGCGTGAGTGATGAGATCGATTCACGTATAATGAAAGCCAGAGCGGCTTATGCCAATCTGGTCCATCTTTGGCGCCTTCTTGATGTCAGTCTGGCTGTAAAAGGTCGGATCTACAACGCGTCGATGATAGCATTTTG